CTACTTCTGAAAATTTACTTCCGGTTTCCGAAACTATTTCTGGCTTCCTTTGGATGTGACATCCGATTTTTTTTTCCGATAGTTTATTTAAATTTTCGCCACAAATTTCTCAATTCGTGTCTTGAAAGTTTCCCGGAATTTTTCCCAGCTTTTCTCGAACTTCATCCAAGAGAGCTTCTTTCGTCTTTCTCTGGATGTTTTTTCAGCTCCATTCAAAAGCTAATTCAAACAGTTCCCGGAGTTTTCTTCCGGAATTTTCCGATCATAGTACAAAAGCTAAAATTTTGCTTTAATTAACGGCTTCCTCACTGCAACGACTACGATATAATCTGTCCGACATTTCGGCCATAGGTTGTGACTTTTTTCAAAAGAAAATATTGTTTGTCATTATTGTCAATAGTTTAGTCGTTGTTGTGGCTGCTTTTCCATATTTTGGTTTCATTTAATGATATTTAATTGAAAAAAAAACACTACTTGGTCACAATTTTGATCACCACTTGAGGACAACGATAATTTTAAAAATTAAATTAAAAAACTAAAGGGTGTTTTAAGACTGAGTCACAAAAAACAATTCCCCTCAAATCCCAGTCGTCGTTAAAATTTTCGCTTTCAAAAACGGCAAAAATATAAAATAAATAAATAGTAAATACCGATAAATACCGATTTTTTAATACCTTTCATACCGATAACATTTAAAACAATCTGGCAACGCTGATTCTGAGGCATCTCTGATCACGCCTTCCTTCGGAAGGGAAGTAAAGCCGTTGGTCCCCGGTTCATGAGTTGATGGGTCGATAGGTGTAGGGTCCAGGTGTGGGAGCTGCCTTCCTGGCGTCGGTAGCATTGGTGCTCAGCACGGAAAACAAGATCGACGAAAAACAAATCCAAGGAAAAAAATCATTAAATTTACATGTCTTTTCTGTAAAATTAAATCTCCATGTAATGTTGCTCTTATTATGAAGTTTAGAGGTAAGAAATAAAATTATTTTGAGTTTCTGCTTTTTCGAATTATTTGGAATTAATACAAGGTATAGGGCACTATTCTTATTTACTTTTATTCACTAACTTTGTTTCCAATAAGAATCACTACTTAGGCAAGCTCTCGTCGAATTGATTCTTGTAAATAACGGTGCCCTGTTTGGCACTGATGGGGATGACACCCAAATTAGTGGAATCGATCAAACCTGACAAATAATCCTTGTTGACTTCTGCATCACGGTCGAGATTTTAAGGAGCAGATCTGGGTTTGGAGACTTGAACAATATCACGTTCCAAACGCAAGAAGAGCAAACGGATCAGCAACACAGTCGATTTCTGATGGAGACGGATCTCCCGAAGAGCAGTTGTTTCTGGACTCGTTTCTGGGTGGTTGCGATGAGACTTCGTCATTTTACCGTCACTTGGAACACTCACGAATTAGCTGATAACAGCTTAGATCGATTCCATAAAAAAAAAAAATCATAATCTGGCACAATTATTTTAAATCAAGAGCAGAACTGTTGCAACTTTTCTACTGGCCGCCATGATACTTTGCTGACAAACGTCAAACGCTGCAAGCCAAAGACATGATGCGTTTACGTTACGAACATGTAAAATTATAGTTTTTAAGATGGAAATTTGAATGTGCTGCATTTATTTACATGGTGTTTAATTTAAATTGAAACCATTAAGGTAAAATTATGTAAAAATAGATCCAATACTCAATTGGATGTAATCTAATTATTATTTACGTCTTATCTGAATGAAAATTATGTGCAATATTGCATTACGTTTTCCATTTATTCAATTACATTTCAAATTAAATCACCGTTAATTTTCAGAATTTTTAACTGTGCACTACTACAGTCCCTTGAAGTCGTCTAAGCATGTCCGAAAAGATCTTTGGATTAGTCCTTGAGTAACGCTTTGCAAGTTCTACGAACTTTTTCATTTAGATCTAGGGACTCCGTGGACTGTCCATCTCGTATGACTTGATCAAGTACGATGCTTGGTTTTATTCAATTTACCATTTACCATTGTTTGAAGTGCCAAAAACGGACGCTGGACCCGTAAGCAGAGACACTTACGCTTGATCCACAGGAGAAAGAAGAATTTCCTTCTAACGATAAAACTTTTCCAACCTGATACAGAACAAGCCATCATACGAGAGGATGTCTCAATGAGTGGGGAGAAGAGCCCACCTTCAATTTACGAAATGTTAATAACAGAGAGTTGGAAATTCCACTCTCCCCATCCAAATCGCTTCAATCAAGCGCCCTGTTGGTCCCATCCCTACCCAATGAATTTATATGTTTATATGAAAATATGAAGAATATAAGAATATATTATAATTGCTGCCAACGCACAGTGGGACGATATCAAAATAAGTGGGACATGGCCATTTGCGACGAAACTATTGAGTGTAGCATTTTGATTTTTTCTAGAATGTTTCTTCATTTTTTGAGTACTTTATTTGATTGGTAAGTTATGGTTATTTCGAGGATTATTTTGCTTAACGACGTGTTTGGGTATCATCCAAACCATTTGTTTTATTATTTGGGTTATCGTTCGTTTATGGTATTTTTAATAGGAATATATTATCAGCCTTCTGAACAATACAATTTTTATTATCTCGAAAAATAATTTTAAAACTCCTAACAATGGATGATGCTACGAAGAAATTTTTTTAAATTTATGTGAAAACATAATAAAATTTACTTAGAATGTGCCATCAAATCTATGTTGTTTTCTAGTGGATTGGGCAAAGATCTTTTCACTTTGAGTAATTTTCGCTTAGATGCTACATGAAAATAAAGTGAAATTTTTTTCCAAATCCTATACTACCTATTAGAGTTGTATGTGAATTGAAATTAGAACTTTCAAACCAATCCACATATGAAAAACCGTAAAATTTACGTGAAAAACTAGATGGAAAAAATCTATATACGTTTTCATGTAACATCTAAGTGAAAATTTTTCTGAATGTATGTTGAAATCAGAATGATGACGAAATTTGTTCTTGCTGTTGAGTGGAGCCGCATGCAGGGCAAGACCTAAGCTAGGATGGTGGCTACTTACATGCATACATACATACATACTTTATTTGATTGGTAAACCTTAAGATGGATATACACTCAGATAAAAAAGATAACTTTTTTACGGCTTGTTAAAATTGATAAACGTCTATGGAAGATCACAATTTTGTATCTCTCAGCTGGACGAAGTTATAGGGTGAAATGAAGTACAAACGGTAGAACTCTCTTAAAACTCCTTTTTTACCATAACCTTTTTGTTTTAATTTAATGTTGTCAATTAATTTTTTTTAATGTTCTACAAAGTTGTAAGTGTTCTAAATTTGCACATTTTTGCAAAAGAAAGCAAATCGCTATTGCTTCGTTTAAAGGATTTACATCCGCATTTCTTATTTTTAACACTATATTTAAGGGTGTGTATCTTGCAGGTTAGCAAGTATTAGCAGCTAAACTCCGCGTAATTTCGTTAAGCAACGTATACCATACTGTTACATATACAATTCGTAGGAGGATCCTAGGGATGTTCTAATAAAATACCTCGATGTTCTGTACGTTTTACAGTTTTCATGACAATTTTTCCAAGTATGTACATTAGAGTGGGTTGCAGCTTCGACAAAGTTGTTTGGTATAGTATTCTCAATCTAAGTCCGAGTTTTGGTGACATTTGAGAAATATTTGGATTTTTGGTAAACAAATGAATAGGATCGTTCCGTTTCCCATACATTTTCCCATACCAAATTTAAAATTCTCCCACAAATTGAGACTATAACCAAATTCGTTCAAATTTTGCCCAGTTGTTGGGGATCTGAATAAGCATTGAAAAAGCAGTGTAATGTAAATCTAAAGTAAATACTTGGAAACATTGTCATGCAATAAGCAAAACTTAACAACACATTGAGGTACTTCATTAGAAAATTCATTAGGCATCCCCTTGGATCCCCCTACGAATTGTATATGTAACAGTAGGGTATAAGATTTTGATCAAAATAACGTTGATATGAGCTGCTAATACATGCTAACCTGCAAGATACACCCCATTAAAGATAGCGTTTAAAAATTATAAAAACGGACGTAAATCCTTAAAGAGAAAAGATAGTGATTTATTTTACTGAACAAAAATGTGCTTTTTTAGAGCACCTACAACTTTGTAGAACATTGAAAAAATTGAAAAAATCAAACAAAAAAGTTATGTTAAGAAAATGTTATTTAAGGGGGTACTACCGTTCGTACTCCATTTCCACCCTATAACTTCGTCCAGTTGAGAGATAGAAAATTGTTGTCTTGTACAGAGTTTCTTTAAATGATGTCTTCTAAAATGTCTTCATAGATTTTCTTCGATTTTAACAAGGCATAACAAAGTTACTACACTCAATAGTTTTGTCGCAAATGGGCATGTCCCACTTTTTCTGTTTTCGTTCCACTGTGGCAACGGCGACTACCACGACGAAATCAGCGAACTTGGAACTTACCATTTGTCTAGGATATAACACCTTTGCTTGGCACCTCCACTGGAACTTCATGTCCACCATCAGAGGGCGGAACTCCATTACATAGATACATTTAAATTTACCGTTAAAAGCAATTTCGATGAACATTTTGTGAGCAGAACAGACATATCATATTTTCATTATAGCAACTTCGGGTAATCCGCTGCAATCACTCTCTCATACTCGCCACACGACCAAATTGGCACAACAACGCCCTATACGCTTTCTGTCCAAAGCGCAGGGAGGGACTCAGATCTCTGGGTATGCTCTTAAAGACCATTCAGTCTTAATAATCTTCGACCTTCCCGCTTAAAAATAAAATCAAAACGAAGATCCTAAGTCCTGAGGCAATGCTTCACTCAACTGCATCCATAGAAGCAAAATCCAATCCTTGTGACAACTTCAACCCTGAAGACTCATGACTGCTTGTAATCAACATCCATCAAACACCAAAGCTCCCAAACCCTGCTAATCGCATTCCATTTTCTCTTTTCTCTTCCAGTGTGGAACTTTGAAAGTTCCCGACTCGTACAACGCGCGGATCATGGATGGCTATCATGTACAGGCTCAGGACGGCAGCAACCACCACAACACCTACTCATACCACCACCATCAACAACATCAGCAGCAGCAGCAGCAGCAGCAGCAGCACCACCACCAGCAGCAGCAGCACCATCATTATCAGCAGCAAAAGTACAGCCACCATCAGCAGCACCAGCACCACCAGTTGAACCAGCACCAGCAAAAGCATCACCACAACAGCACCAATGTCAGCAGCTACACGACACAGAACTATGCTCACTCGGATGCAGGCTTCGTGTCGCCACCACCATCACCCCGTTCCAACAGTTCGCTAGCTTCCTGTGCATCTTCTTCCTACTCGTCGGCTTCCTCGTCGTCGGCGGTGTCTTCGGCGGCGTCCACTTCCTCGGGGCTGTCGTCGGCCGGGTCCGAGAATGGATCCTCGTACGAAAACCTGGACAATTCGGCCCAACGGCTAGCGGTACTGTCTTTCGAGCAGCTCAAGAAGCTGAACGATGTCATGAACGAACCCGTCGCTATCCACGGTCGTGGAAACTTTCCGACCCTGGAGGTCAAGCTGACGGATCTGGTGAACATAGTGCGGGATAAGTTGGAGGCCGACATTGGTTCCGGTGGAGCCGGTATGATTGTGAAGGATATTCGCCTGAACGGAGGCGCCGCTAGTCACGTGCTGGCTTCGGAAGCACAGCCATACAATGATCTGGACTTGATCTTCGCTGTGGAGTTTAGCTCAAACCGACACTTTGATCGTGTCAAGTCTGCAGTGTTGTCTTCGCTGTTGGATTTGCTGCCGGAGGGCGTGGTCAGGCGGAGGATAACGCAATGTTCACTCAAGGAAGCATACGTCGGCAAGATGGTAAAGGTGAACAACAACAACGACGGCGATCGCTGGAGTCTGATCTCGCTGGGTAACTCGCCAGGGCACAAGAATGTCGAGCTGAAGTTTGTCGATACAATGCGTCGGCAGTTTGAATTTAGCGTCGACTCGTTCCAGATTGTGCTGGATTCGCTGCTGTTGTTCTACGACTGCACGGAGAAGCCCATGATTACGGAGAATTTCTATCCGACCGTCGTTGGAGAGTCGGTGTATGGCGATTTCCAGGAAGCTCTGTACCACTTGCAAAAGAAGCTGATATCGACGAGGCAACCGGAGGAGATCCGGGGTGGAGGACTGCTCAAGTATTGCAACTTGCTGGTGAGGAACTATATTCCAGTTGATGAGCAGAAGATCAAGACGCTGGAGCGTTACATGTGCTCGCGGTTCTTCATCGACTTTCCGGACATTGACCAGCAGAAGATCAAGCTGGAAAGTTATCTGAGGAACCATTTCTGGGGTGAGGTTGAGGAACATCTACAGTACCAGTACCTGATGCATTTATACGATGTGGTTGAACAGAGTACGGTCTGTCTAATGGGTCACGAGCGTCGCCAAACGCTGATGTTGATCGAATCGCTGGCCGTGCAGGTCCTTTACCGCGACCATCCACATAATCCAGCCACCATCATAACGACCACGAGTACGTTACCGCAGCACACGACCATGTCGCTGCAACCGCTACAGACTCAGCTGTCGCATCTGAGTTTACAGCCCCAACAGCACTCGCCAGTGCAACAGACTGTCATTCACCACCACCACCCGCAGGGCGCTCACCAGACGCAAACCCTTCAACTTCAGCACCCGCAGGCCATGATCCAGCAGCAGTCTCCTCAGCAAGGACAAGCTCAAGCACAGCAGCAGACCATCTCGCTTGCACCGCAGCCTGGTCTACTCTACGCAAACGGAATCTACTATGCTCCAGTCATCCCGACGACGCTCTGCACGTGCAATGCCACGTGGCTAACGACGTGATCGGTGCTGGAGGAATCGGATAGCTACAGCAGCAACAACATCAATAACAACAACATCAACAACAACACGGCGGCACCCCTGCTAGTGGGATCGATCATAAGCTTCACCACTACGCCGATCGTGGCGACATTCGAGCCGCAGTCGCACACACCGTCATCGTCCATTTGCTGCAGCAGCAACATTAACAACAACAACAACAACAACATTTACAATGCAGACAACAACAATCGTTACATTACGAATATTTTAGTGTCGGATAGATGATTACTAGGACAGTAAGCAAGGTTACACATTATCTACACCAGCTCCTCCCCCATCACACTCAAATTGCGTCCGTTCGAATGAGAAAGATTCGATGATCCGGAAAAACCCGTTTTCCACGATGGTTAAACTGAAACAAATCGGGAAAACAATATTTAAAATGACATGCTCCTAACCTAAGAACCAACACACAACCAACAGGCAGTGGCGTCGACATTGGTAAAATGAAACCCTCTGAAAATTGATGTAAAATTATAAAGCAATAACACACTCAATTTGTCCCTTCCTTTTCTCCCTCCCCCTTCACCTTTGGACCCAGTTCCCCTTTTCCCTCGTTTGGAAAACCCACCGGTGTCCTCTATAGTTTCAAAAATCCACACCCCGTGAGGGTAACTGTTTTGTGATAGCACAACGCCATCTATAGCTTAGAGATGAGATCGAAGAACCAACTACACACACACACACACACACGACGACGAAAATACAACAAAAATGTCAAACAGCAACAATGTACAAATTTGTAAAAAAAAACAACACTTAACAAAACTAACGGAAAATCGTTTTACATAGAATACGGGTGTGAGGGTGTGTATGTGCGATTGTGGATGTATTTGCGCAAAGAGAGCTGAGAGCGGAAATCCACACTCGGAATTCAATTAATCACCAATTTCAACATTTTCCTTCCCGATGTGTATGTGTATGATGTGTATCGTAAATACAAGCAAATGGATATACAAACAAAACAAAAGAAAACATTTATATTAGTGTCTGTAGAGTCGTAGTGGCTGAGAACCAACCTGTGGCGGCGGCTGCATAAAGCCAGCCCGATGTTTGAACATGGACAAATTGTGATTTTAAGAAAAAATAATAATAATAAGGCTGTCACTCGAGGAAGGAAAAGGAGGAGGAAGAAGAACGACGATGCAATCGAGTGACCGTCCAGGAGCTGAGAAAATACTAAGCAATTTTAACTAGGTGTTCAGAAAACAAGCAAAACGTTGACATTTTTAGAGCCCTTTTCCCACTTTTACCCAGGTAGTTTTTTTTTCATTTCGGAATGGCACATAACAAAAAATCAAAACAAATGAAAACTAATCAAAGTGACGCCACTGTTTGTTGTTGTTATGGCTGTAACGGTTGTCTGTATGGTTGCGATTGGGCATCGTAGGCCGCTAGCGGTGCATACCGCAGCTACAAAGGGAAATGGAATTAAAATGCAATTTTTCTTTTATTTCCAAGGAAATTATGTAACTGATCGTGACGAGGTGCGTTAATGGTCTTTTCCTAAATGGTTCGGTGCATTTTGCTTTGTGTGTCTCTATTGGCAGTACGCTACCAGGTGAATCATTTGTTGTGCAAATCGTTGCGAGGGGGTCCGGAAAGGGTTGTAATGCGAAGTTGTAAGTGTTTATAGCAACTTTTAATGCACTTTGTTTTTGAAGGTTATGCAAAATGATAATGTTACCTCAGCGCAAAACGAATCACGGAACAAATTTTAAAATTGTTTCCGAAACTTCAAACTCAGGATGGTACGCCCAATGGAATGGGCAATCTGTTTTTTTTTATCACTCAATCGAAGCGTCTTTGGGACCGCTGTAGTTTAAACAGTGACGTCGCCCTAACCTCAATCTACCTGTTCAACAACTCTCAAAACGTAAACAAACAAAACGATATTGGCTCAAATGGATACAAATCAGTGAATCTAGAAGGCCCTGTGCCATTTGAAACTGATTTTAATGTAAAGGGTCATGCTAAAAAACAGTTTCAAAGTTGTTGAACAGGTAAAAAGTGAGGTTACGGGACGTCACAGAACTTAACAGTTAGAAGGGACTATACTTTTTCAGTAACTCCGCAATATTTCTAAACGAGCCGGAGAGACGGTCTTGGAGATCGGTGCAATTTTTGACAGTTAAAAAAATAAATTTTAAGAATGAGAGTTGAATCAATAGCTAAAAAATCAAAAAAATCCAATGTTTCCAAATGCGAACCCTTATGTCACGGGTACACTTGCATGACAATCTATGAACATGAGCATTATTTGCATAAATAATTATGAGCGAATCCAAAAACTATACAAGTGTGATCATGGATGTGATCATAATTTGTTATACAAATAATGCTCATGTTCATAGTTTGTCATTCAAGTGTATCCGTGGCATTACGGTATCAAAGTGTATCTAAGGCCACCACTTTCCAGTGCCAATCACCGACGGACAGGAAGGCAGCTTCCAAACCTGCGTAGGATATCGCACCCATTCAAACACACATGGGTCAGGACCAACGACTTTACTTCCCTTCCGAAGGAAGACGTGACCAGAGATTTTTATGCCTCAGAAAAATCCCACCAACCTCAGCTGGAATTGAACCCAGACCCATTGGGGTGAAAAAGCAGTCACGCTTACCGCTACCCACCGGCGCTGGTAGATTCCAAGGTGTCTTGTTACATTATTCGCGCTGGCTATTTCTGAGATCGGTTTGGATTATAGTTATTATTAACAATATTAAAGTTCATTAATTGAAATGCGATAGAAAGCTAAACCTGTGAATTTTTTTCAGGGAGACTGATGATCTTTGATAAAAATTTCCCACTCTCTGGTCGTCGATGGTCTCGAGGACCGCCGACAACAACTTCTTTCATCAAGTTTGGATTTTCAAAGTTCGTCCTCAAAGCCTCTAAACATTTGACGCTTCCACAAGTTACTCTTTGTCATGATTGAAATCCGTTTACTTTTGTTGCTATATTGAAAAGCATTGTTGCAATATCTCTCTCTTTAAGTGGTTCTGCTGCCTTCAACTTAACTCCCAGTGCGTTTATTTCACGTGTCTTCAAGAAATTATTAGGGAACATAGCTTCCAATCAATCCAAGCAAAACGGAAGCACTGTTGCAGAACCTGGTTTTTTAAAACGCCAATATAGACGTGTAGGTTTTATGAAAACTGGAGGCATTTTCAACCTATGAGACACATGATCTTCCGCGATAAAATTAACCCCAATCGGATACTTCTTCTTCAGCAAACATCAAACGCTTCCAGTGCTCAAGCCGTAGTTCCTGTATCTGGTCCGTTATCAGAGGCTGAGGGAGGGGTGTTGCTACGCAAGTGATGTTGATCATTTTCATGATGTATCTAAATACTCCTTCGGGCAGGCATTGGAATGTGCGCTGCAAGTGTTTTGAGGAATGCAATTGATGGATATTCACGGTTGTGGTTTGTAAAAATTAGATTGTAGCAACATCAATAACAAATTTTGGCACATGCACACTGCGCAGGCGCAGAAAAGCTCAGTGCCAGTGTCAGTACCTATGACACTTCACGGTGAAGTGACAACTTATCACTCACGGTGAAGTGATTCCCATTTGATTTACACGGCAATCGCTTCACCGTGAGTGACAACTGGTCACTTCACTTCGTTTTCATCGTGAAGTGACACCCGTAATAAGAGCCAATAACTTTAAAGGTCAGAAAAATTGTAACCATGGGTGCCAATGAGTGTGCCCAGGTGTGCCCAAGCTTGTATTGGGCACACTATGCGGAGTGACCAACCCCTTGGTCTCAGACGTCATTTCGATTAGAAGGGACTTTTTCGCACTACGACGTTTTGAAACATGTCAACTATAGGGTGTTCCAGAAAGTATAAACACAGTATATTATTGAAATAAAACTGCTCAAATGTTAATTTCATGTATATCAAGAGCCAAATGTGAAAAGGGCATACAAGCTTTTTGTAAACAAACCTTTGTAGGCCCTCTTCTCGCCAACCGAGGGTCGCCTACGCAAACTAACAACATCATCGGGAAGGGGAAACCTTCCCCTATCCGGCGATGTTGATGGTTTGTGTTGGTGTTATATGGGTGGCGAGAAAAGGGCATAAGAATGTTTGTTTACAAAAAGTTTGTATGCCCTTTTCACATGTTGTTCTTGATATGTTCTCTATAGTAATTATTTCATTTGGATGAAAATAATCCACAGTTCCTTTAATCGTATGCCAAGGAGCGAACTTTTGATCTGACGTTGCCCATGAGCTTCAGCACAGATTCCTTGCCGATAATTTAGGCCACTTTTGTCCAGGTTTTTTTTCAAATTCTTCGATTTAATTCGCTTAATCAAACTGTTTCTTGAGATATCCCTTGTAAAGGGCCCAAAAGTTTCGATTTACATGGTTTCCGGAATATTCGCAGGATTCATCTCTTTTGGCACGTATTGCACATTGTTTGCTTTGTACCTAGCTACCGTGTCTTTCGAGTAGTGCATTGACACCTAATCGGACCGAAATAGTACTGGGTCATCACGTTGGTCGCAGATGCCGATACAAATACTCCCAAACGTCAATGTCTCCTTCGTTATAAATGTCTTTGACAACTTGCCACACTCGCATATTGCTTTTCCAAACCATGGCCTTCTTATCAAATTTTTCGGTAAAAATTGGCTTATCGGCATCGTCAACTTCATGACCATCACGGACTGTGCAGTATTGGTTTCCTGGAAGCGTCTTGTAGTCAAATTTGACGATCGTTTGTTTCATCGTCCATGATAACAAAAGCCCATTTTTCCACACAGCATGCTATCATATAGCTTCCGAGCCCTCCGTTGGACCGATGCGGCTTGTTTCTAGCTCCGTTTTGACTTCTTCTACTTCTTGAACGTTTTCAGCCCGTTTATTTCTTTGGCACGTTGGACGTTATTCTTCGATGTTCTCAGTTTTTTGACCAAATCTCGAACGGGAGCACTTTTCTTATTGACGAAAGCTTGGTGATCTTCAGGTTCACTTTTTGGTCCACCGGTCCCGGTTTATGACCAGATTGGCTGTGTGCGGATGGCGGTTTGGAAACAGAAAACCGCCATCCAAGATTGAACAAATGTTTCGAAAAATTGTGTGTAAGAATTCAAATTAAAATACGTTTGAAACACTTGCGCCACCATACGGAATGTTGCGACTCGAGTTTGTGATTAATGAGTAAACTGAACTAAAATTTGGGTTAATTTTATTGGCCGTGGCCATAACAAACTGTCAAATCAGTTCAAAAAAAACAAGACAAAACAACGAAAATCGATCGAGATCATTATTTTCAAATAAAAAACTAAGCGGTGAAATTGTTTCAAATCAATTTCAAAGAGGAATTCGAAAAGCCTCCGGGGGGAAGTGGTCGTAACATAACTTTTTCGTTGCTAGCGCTTGGACTCCACGTGAGAAGAAAATCTCCTGTAGTTCGGGCGACTCGCATCGATTTATTCAGTGGCTGCACCTACAATTTGGAAGGATGTTTATGAATGAATCGATTTAAAACAAAACTATAAGCAAATAACTACAATTAAGCATCTTTGGAAAATTGTAAAAAAGATTTTCGCTTGGTAACACTTTGTTTATTTGCGCACCAGCCCATGTTTTGATCGGTTTTAAACAAACAATGTTTTGCTCACACAAATTTTGCCATTTATGTAAATATGACGTCTGTCGGTCGTCGACGTCGATGGGCAGCGACACTAGCGCCACCACGATTTTGCTAGTTGCAAATGTCTATTCAAAATAGCACTTAAATTTCTTACACACTCTAGGATGTCTGTTCTCTGTGGTTTGGACTTGCTTCCTCCATTTTCGCCATCTTCCCTTCTGATAGGTTGGGAATAGTGCACAATTTGTACGCGATCTTTTTGCACTTTTCCGGGAAAATGCCTTGCATTTTGATGATTTTGTAAAAATATTTCCTTGGCGCACACAAACTTGTTGAGCAATAAGTAAAAAACAACACACATCGATCAACAGCTGATAAACTTCATCAGGGTAGAAATGACGGTGAGTTGATAGTGTGCTTATATTTTCTGGGACACCCTTTAAACCATTTAAAAAGAACTGCAGGATCATAAAAAAAAAAAAATGCAATGTATCATGCAAATCGAAGAAAGTCGAGTCTAATCGAATCGTCATTAGGCGTGGAACTGCTCTGTAGATTTAAAGCAGTAAGTGTCTATCTTTCTTACTTTGTCCGTTTTTACCAACTTTCCCCTTCACAATGTCCAGCCGCATACGGCTTGATTGTCAAACTATGAAGAAGTTGTTTTTTTCTTTTAATTTTCTTTTCAGCTAATCAGTCTTCTCGAGGGAAACCTTCAAGAAGAGCCTTTGGAGTGGATTGCATAATCTGCATTTACTCTAACGTAAACTTAAATATTCTGCCGTTTCAAAATCATTAAACATTGTTAATCGGCTATTTTGGTTGTTTTTGGCGTTTGGCGTGTTTTTGAGATATTTGAAGATTTAAGATTGCTTAGGCCACTTTGTGAAAGGCCATTATATATCTCTAATTATGCGTAAACAGCGTTTTGAAGGTATTGTGGCCATTTACATTGTAATTCTTGCAGTCGTTAGAGCCATTTCCTCATTTTAAACGTAACGATTTTGTTTTTAAGATAGTTTGGCAATTTTGCGTGCATCAATAATAAAGTGTATGTATATAAAGCTCATGCTTCTGACGCATATACACTACCGATCATAAGCTTAAGGACACCCCCAAAAAACCATGCAAATATGTTTTATTCAATGA